GCAGGTGCAAAAAAGTCTCGCCGGCACTGTTCGTCGCAACCGAGTCCGGCGCTATGGCAATGGCGTCGGTGATGCGGCGAAGCGGGCCGTCTCGGGCTGCGAGAAGGTGAAGATACGTGTTGCCGAAAGGATCGCGTGCCTTGATGTTGGGTGTCGCAGCAAGGCCATGCAGGAAGACATGTTCAGCATCACCGGAGACTCCGTGTTCGTGGACCCAGTGCTCGGCGGTCAACTCGTCCCTGGCGTAACAGTAACATGATCTGAAGTCGTGCTGGTCGACGCCGGGTAGACAGCCAATTTGTTGTCGGAGCTGATGATCGAGGCGGAGAAATGAACCCGGGCGTGGGCGGAAGTCGATCGGTAGTCGATCGCTACCTTCGTCTTCCTCCAACCAGGGACTACTAGACATGTCGGAATTGCCGGAGTGAGGTGGTGCGGCAGTGTCACCGCCTTCGGAAATAACGGTGATCTGAGGCATCATTGTGTATTGCTTGGCGACGCGAGTGACCAAGCGGAGTGCGGTGCGCCCCAGCTCCGGTAGAGCCTCCCGAAGAGAGCGAGATGACATCTCGGTCGAGGTGGAGAGAACGGTGGATCGTCGGAGAAGAGCAGCGGCAGACAGGCCAAAGTCTGGTGGCCCAGAGACGGCAGAGGGATCAGCTTGAAAAAGGTTCACCTCTGTTTTGGCTACAGCGGTCAGGGATGGCGTGTGGCTCGACGGCTCTGGCCAAATGCCGAGCCCTGTTGTTCGTTTGCTGACCACGACCATGTTTGACTCGGCTTCAATGGCCTGGTCAACGCTGTCGTGCGAAGAAACGTTGGAGGAGACTGAAGGCGCATGGGCGCGAGCCAAGGGGCTTCTGGGTCCATAGCGGCGAATAGGGGCATGAGCAAGGCCATTGACGCGAAGTTGAGCATCACTGATGTTTTTAGGGCGGAGCCAACGTGGTTGCTTGTCGAGGTTGGAGCTAAGCTTCTTGTTGGTCGAGTCCTTGCCGGGACTTTCATCAGTGTTGGAGACACGAAGCGCTTCGAGGCTTTGCGGATCTGTGCCATGCTGAGGGTGGTATAAGTGTACAGGCGTGTAAGTTTACGCTCGCCAGACTTGTTCCACATGGAGGGGCGACCGATGCCAGCAGCATCGGCACCGACTCCAGC